TGCTGCTGACCGGAACGCCTTGGCGCGGATCCGAGCCCTGGGTCCTGGGGGCCATCCCGCCCCCGCGAGCGCTTCAGGGCGGGCTTGGGAATAGAGACAAACTCCGAACCATTAGCGCTCAGCCGGACAGGGCTTAGGAGTCCCGAGCCCAGTCCTGTTCACCCCCATTTTATAGAAAGGGAAACTGAGGCCCAGAGAGGGGAAAGTCACTTGCCGAGGTGTTTACTGCGGACTGTGTTGACAGAAGCTGCTTTTTCTCAGCAGTCAGAGAGCAAGCCCTCCTGGCCCTCCAGGACCCCAGGTCCTGGCAAGGATGGCGTTCTCAGCCATAATGACCAGCATTTAAGTGCTCCCCACTACCGGCATCACTGCCCCAACCAGTGGAGGTCCCGGAAAGGGACTGAAGATGTGTGACCTAACTTCTCTGAACCTTCCTCCATCAAGGAGAGCTGATAATCCCTAACTCACAGTTCTGTGAGGATTGAATGCCTTAAGCATGCAGGTTAAGTGGCTACTGAAGGCCGTTTCTGTGGACAGGTGATTTGGGAACCTGGAGGAAGGGTTACGTGTGTGCGTGTGCGCGTGCCTCTGTGTGTGTGTGTGTGTAAAAATCCTTCCACGAGAGGACATCTGAGGTGTCTTTGGAGAGTAGGAGTGGACAACAGCATCCTGGCAGAAGGAGCAGCATGTAGATGATGTCACAGGCTGGTGAGATCCTGACAAGTTCATGTGGGCAAAGGGAAGCCAGTTCCAGGCCCAGCTGGGGTCTGGGTTTGGTTCTTGCCCTTTCCTGCTACTCCAGCAAGCCAGGGGACTGGGGCCACTTTGCCATTGGCATGGCCTAGATTCCCCAATGAGCTGGGGGTGACTAACTCTCTTCCCAGCCCAAGCGTAGAAGGTGGAGCAGCCTGGCCAGCAGGGATCTGAAGCCCAGAGAGAGGAAGTCACTGGCTCCAAGTCACAGAGCCGGTCAGCGGCAGGGCCCAGGGCACTTTCTCTGAAGAAATATTCCACCAGGAAACAAAAGCTCAGAGAGGGCACAGGCCTGTGTGTGCAAGGCTACAGAGCTGAGACAAGGACCAGGCAGACTTCCTTTGACTTTGCTCTGCTCAGTCTGTAGGTGGGACCAAAGGCCACTGGCAGCCCTCTTCACACCCTTGTGGGCTCGGGGCAGATATGAATTGGAAGCTAGAGGCCACAGAGCTTTTGGCTCCACTCATTTCCACAGGGCAGGCATCTGTGTGTGTTGAGGGCCCCTCACTGGTCAAAATGGACCCTTCCAGCCCTGCCTGTGTAGTCCCAGAAGTGAGTCACAGGTTGGTGATGTTGGGGTCCAGGCCTGGACAGGCTGATGTTGCTAGCACACCTCTCGGGCCCTGCTTCAACCTGAATCCCTGGGCCAGGCTGGAAGCTCAGTCCCTGGAACTGGACAAGTCACAGTTCCTTCCTGCCTTAGTCACTTTCAGACTAGAAGACTGACCACATCTTTATCTGTAAAATAGAGGCAATGGCACCTCCTTCCTAGAGTAGCTATTGGGGTTTAATAAGACCTTAGCCTAAGGAGCTGGCCTGGGTATGTCCTCACATGATACAATGGCTCTATTTGTGAGTCTCCCCTAGTTTATGAGGACCTCCTCAGTGCAGGGACCAGGTGTCACTTGGCTCAGGACTCAGCCAGATGCAGTACAGCTGGGACCAGAAGGGGCTGGGCCTGGGTGCTGATTGAAATCCAGGAATCTGCCCCAGGTTTTCTGGCCCTGTCTTCTTTCCCACCTTTCAGAAACTGGTCTCAGCGTCAGATCTGTGATGCTGCCCAGGCATGGCGGTGACCCTCTCTAAACAAGCATGCTCAGAATTTCCCTGGCCTCAGCTGGGCGACTCAGGAGAAAATTGGTTATCAGCTTCTGCCTCAAGGGGCTAGAGAACATTTGTACCCACTTATTACATGTCACCAGCCACATACTCTTCCCATTTCGTTGTCACCTCAGCTAAGTCATGGAGGGTCAGAGAGAAGTGCATTGCCCAGGGCTCACAACTAATAATTGGGGATTGGGGAGAGAAGGTACTGAAATCCATGTCAGTCTGAATCTCCCAGACCCGTATGCACTTCTCCAATTTTTGCCACATTGTCCCCTTTGTTACAGCCTGTGTTGCTGCTCCCGCCTCTCACTGGCCTCTCTGCCCCCAAGCTGACTGCCCTTCATGAGACACCAGCTTGAGCTTCCAAACCAGTATCCCCATCAGTCCCTCACCTGCCAAACCTTTCAATGGCTCCCCCATTGCCCTTAGAATAATGACCCCAGCTCCAAGCATCCACAGTCTTGTAACCAAGTCTCTGACCACCTCCCAGCTTCACTTCCTGTGCTCCCTACCATGTCATGCCTGAACTCACTGTTCACTGTGTCCCAGAGACAATGCCACACCTTGGTCACAAAGGTCCTTTCCTCACCTGGTGAGCTCATGCACTTCCCTTAAAACTCAGGTTATAGGTCACCTTGTGTAGGTGACTTCTCAGTGTCCCATAGTAGTATAATCTGGTCTCTCTTCTAGGCTTCCAAAGGGCTTTACAGGTCCATCCATCCTAGCCCTGAGCACACTGACAAAAATAAAACTGCATACCTGCCTCCTTCTTCTTCTTCTTTTTTTTTTTTTTTTTTTTTTTTTTTTCAGTGAAAAGAAATTGCTGGACATTGCAGAAAAATTAGAAAACATCAGTTAAGTTAAAAGAAATCAGGTCAGGCACAGTGGCTCAGGCCTGTAGTCCCAGCATTCTGGGAGGCTGGGGCTGGAGAATTCCTTGAACCCAGGTGGCAGAGGTTGCAGTGAGCTGAGATCATGCCACTGCACTTCAGCCTGGGTGACAAAGACCCTGTCTCAAAAAGCGTCTAGTAGCAACCTACAATGCACAGGACAGGACAGCACCCACAACAAAGAATTTTCCAGTCCCAGATGTCAAGCACCGGGGTTGAGAATCCCTGGTTTAGACTGCCTTAGTTAGGTTTTAGAGATTGGCTTGTTCAAAGGTTTGCAGACTGTGTTCCACAGAGACTCTGGGGCTCCTGGGAGTGAGTGGAATGAGAGGGAGTGGACAGGGACCCCAACCACATTCCCGGCCAGTCAGAGCAGGTGCCCTTTAGGTCAGCTTTTGAAGCTAGAGTTCTGTATTAGCTTTGCTTTGGAAAAATCCCTGGGGGTAGGGAGGTGCATAGAGAAAAGATTTGAATGCTGTTACCCTGCTTTGATTTATAGGCCCAGAAAAGGAAAGTGAGTTGCCTGAAGTCACATAGCAAATCTGAAGTACAACAGGGACCTAGACACAGAGCCTTGCTGTCCAGCACCCTTTGTACCACCCCTTAGCCCTATTGATAATTACTGATGCCCTGGGCTAGGAGTCAGGCACCTGGGAAGTGCTGGCAAACTGTGGCCCATAGACCAGACCTGGCTCACTGCCCATTTTTATACGGCCTGCCAACTAAGAATAATGGTTTTCACATCTTTTTAATGGTTGAAGAAAATAGAGTATTTCATGGCTGGGCATGATGGCTCACGACTGTGATCCCAGCACTCTGGGAAGCCGAGGAGGATGGATCACTTAAGGTCAGGAGTTTGTGACCATCCTGGTCAATATGGTGAAACCCCGTCTCTACTAAAAATACAAAAATTAGCCGAGTGTGGTGGCAGGCACCTGCAATCCCAGCTACTCGGGGGCTGAGGCAGGAGAATCACTTGAACCCGGGAGGTTGAGGTTGCAGTGGCCAAGATCATGCCACTGCCCTCCAGCCTGGGCAACAGAGCGATACTCTGTCTCAAAAATAAATAAATAAATAAATAAATAAATAAATAAATAAATAAGAATATTTCATTATATGCAGAATTTTATGAAATTCAAAATGTAGCATTTAAAAAGTTTTATTGGAATACAGTCGTGCTCATTCTTTACATATTGCTTTTGTGCTACAATGTTAGAATGAAATAGTATTGACAGAAACTGTATAGCCCCCAAAGCCTGAATATTTGCTATCTAAACCTTTACAAAACAGTTTGCTAGCCTGTGCCCCAGGCTGTAGCTCGGCCTGTCACTCATGTGCTATGCAATCTTGGCCAAACAACCACACCTCCCTGGGCCTCATCGCTTACAAAATAGGAGTAAAACTTCTCTCCAGAGATGGGTGCCTCATTAGTTTTCCATTGCGACACAACAAATTATTATAAACTTAGCAGTTTAAAATAACATCTATTTATTATCTCATATTTCTGCAGGTTAGAAGTCCAGCTGGAGTCAACTGGGTTCTCTGCGTTAGGGTTTGTCAAAGTCAAAGGCAAAGTGTTGGCTGGGCTGGCCTCTTGTCTGGAGGCTTAGGGGAAGAATCTGCTTCCAAGGTAATCCAGGTTGTTGGCAGAATCCAGGTCCTTGTCATAGGACTGAGGTCCTCATTTTCTTTCCAGCTGTCAGCCAGGGGGCCAATCTCTGCTCCTAGTGGCTGCCCCCTGGCCCCCTCCAACTCAGCAAGGGAAAACCTCCCTCAAGCCAAGTCTGCCTCATGCCTTGAACCTGTTTGACTGCCTTTTCTACCACTAGCCAAAGAAAACGCTCTGCTTTTAAAGGGCTCCCACGATTAGATTAGACCCACCCATCTCCTACCTTAAGGTCTGCTGATTAGTAACCTTAATTTCATCTACGGAATTCCTCTTGCCCTGTCACGTAATCAAAACATTAACATCAGAGGGCAAAGGCTATGAGAGCCATCTCAGAATTTTGCTTTCTGCAGGTGCTGTGGCAAGGAAGACAGAACATGTATGTTGTGAACACTCATTAGAGGATCACACTTGCTGTGCCAGGTACCATGGTGCTGGATGGAGAAAGCAGGACACATGGACAGATGGTGTGTTGACAAAGAATTTGAAAGCAACCCAGATGGTGACAAGAGCTTGTCTCTGAATGCCCCTTTTGGGGGTCACTAAAAATGCCCCAGGGTTTTTAGTTGGACCAACAAGGAGACTTCAAAGAGATGACATCTGAGCTGGGTTGTGATATACGTAGGATGTCAACAGGCA